ACCACCCACGGAGTGACTATTCCGGCGGGTGTTATATACGGGGGATTACGGTATCTATTGAACGCCACCGCCAACCCCTTCTGCACATGTCTCAGAAGACCCAGATGAAATGAAGCATGCTGCCTTTACAAGAGGACCTAAGCAAGCTTTCACAATATGTAATTTTTTGAAAGCGTGTAACACTTTCTAAAAATGTGTATTGTGAGAGTGTAGCGAGGGCCAACGCAGCAAAGGCAGCGACGAAGCGCTACTTGTTAAAGTAGAAACGAATGATTACTAGAGGTGGAAACCTAGAACAAATACTAGTTGGTTGTACTCACTAGAAGCATACCTCAGTCTAGCCTATAACTTCTACATAGATAATATGTATAAGTTGACACACCCCCTAGGCTAGACAAGGGGTGAAACTAAACAAGAAGCAAACAGCTCAGGGCGGCACTACTAGTCCAACCACTGAGGCAGGGGTCTGGAGACCAGTCAGCAAGAATACAACCAAAACTGAAGCAAGCCAGGGTGGCACTACTAGTCCAGCCACTGGAGGTAAGGCCACAAGGCCAGTCTGACAAGCATATATAATAGAGAGTACACAATCAGGATCCTAACAGGGGAGCAGCTATAGGAACAAGACCAAGCTGTACACAGTGCCGCTGATGATCTTTAGGCGCAAGCGCCTTAGTAAAGATATCAGCTGTGTTGGCACCTGAGGCCAAGTGAACTACGCGGGCCTGGCGGCGCTGCTGTAGCTCGCGCAGGAGGAAGTACCGCAGCTGGATATGCTTCGCTCTGCCCTCAAGCCGAGGCTCCTGACACAGGAGTATCATGGCCCTGTTGTCAGCGTACAGGACCGGGGCAGAGCTAGGCCGCTCACCTAAGTCTGTGAGCAAGAAGGTCAGCCAGCGGAGCTCCTGTGCCGCCATGGCACCAGCGTAGATCTCAGCCTCACAGCTAGACTGAGCCACAGACGACGAGCGAGTGGATCTCCAAGAGATAGCACCCGAACCAAGGCTGAAACAGTAGCCCTGCGACGACCTGAGCGTCTCAGCGTCGTCTGCCCAAGAAGCGTCTGTGTGCCCAGTAAGGACCACTGGCCTGCGTCCTCCTAGCACTAACCCCATGCCTGATGTACTAGCAAGATAACGCAAAACCCTCTTAGCGGCAGACCAGTGCTGAGGTCGGTGTCTGCCTGTAGCCACAAAGCGAGCCAGGATGCTGAGAGGGTATGCGAGATCTGGGCGAGTGCAAGTCATCAGGTACATGAGGCAACCCACCAGCTCTGCGTAGGGGCCACTGGGCTCTACTGGCTCCTCAGGAACGGGAGCAGAGAGCCCATGGTCTACGGGTAGAGGTGTGGGCTGTGCGGAGGAGAACTGAAGACCGAACCTCTGAAGGACCTGACGCACCAAGTGTGACTGGGTCAGAGTGATGGTGCGTGCTGCTCTGTCCCTAGAGATCTGCAGGCCAAGATAGCGACGCAGCTCTCCAAGGTCAGTGCAGGTGTGTCTCTTCAGCAGCTCAGCCTTCACAGAGGCCAGTGCGTCCCTGTCAGGAGTAGCGAAGACCAGGTCGTCTACGTAGACAAGGATGTAGAACGGAGTCTGGCCGGAACGCACAAACAGTGAAGGGTCAGCAGAGGACGGAAAGAACTGCAGGTCTGCTAACATGGCACGTAGCGTGTCGTGCCACTCGCGGGGAGCCTGACGCAGGCCGTAGACCGGGCGCCTGAGAAGCCACTGGGTCCCAGGAGGGAAGGTACCAGTGAAGCCCTGTGGTCGGCGCAGGTAGACCTGCTCGTGTAGGCTGCCCTGAAGAAAGGCAGTAGAGAAGTCGAGGGAGTGAAGCTCGTAGTCACGCTGTGCTGCTACGTGTAGCAGCGCCCGAAGAGTGGTCATCTTCGGGGTCGGGGCGAAGGTCTGGAAGAAGTCAACCCCCTCGCGCTGACTGAAACCTCTGGCCACGTAGCGCGCCTTGAAGACAGGCGGCTCTCCAGGGGGGCGCTTCACCTTGAAGAGCCACCGACCATCGACTACGTTCACCCCAGGCGGGGGAACTGCGTCGACGTAAGTGCCGGTGGATCTCCAAGATGCCATCTCCTGCTCCATGGCAGCTATCCACTGAGAGGCCCAAGGTCCCGAGGTGGCCTCAGCGTAGGTGCGAGGGGTCGGGATGTCGAAGGCGTCTGGGTCACCCTCAGGGACTAACAGCATGGAGCAGAGATGGGGAGCAGCCTCGGAAAGGAAAGCCAGCTCGTACTGCCTGTCCTCTAGGACGTCACTGCCAAGGGCAGTAGCACCCCCGACGGACAGAGGACGGGCAGGGTCAGAGACCAGAGCAGTAGCGTAGTCAAGGCGGCGGGTAGAAGCGAAGTCAGCGACAGCAGCGACAAGCGCGTCAAGGCGCGAGACAGGAACAGCAGGGTCGGTAACAAGAGAGGCAAGGACCCGAGGGACAAGGGGACGAGCAGCACGGAGGTAGTCAGAGAACGGAGGAGGTGCAACAGCAAGGGACGAGGGAGGAGGGGACGGGAGGAGGGGAGGACGAGACGAGTGGGAACGGAGCAACATAGGGTGGGTGGGCAGGACAGGAGAGACGGGACGAGCACGGGAGGGACGGCGAGCCCAAACGTGAGACGGAGGGGTAGGGTCAGGGGACAGCGGAGGAGACACAGGAGGGGAACGAGGAGGAAGACGGGCCGGAGACGAGTCTGGCGGCGGGAACACAGGACCGTAGACAGGGAGGTCAGGAGGCGGTGGGGGAGACACCGGCGCGCGGTCCGGGGAGGGAAGGCCGAGCAGGCGGAGAGCGGAAACCGGCGGCGACGGCTGCTGCGGCGGCGACGACGGCTGGGCCGGAACTCTCGGACCAGCAGAGGCAGAACGACCGTCGGCAGAACACTCAACAGCAGCACCCCCAGAACCAACACCCCCAGAGCGAGAACCCCCTCCAACACCAGCGGCACCCCCAGAAGCCGCAGGACGAACACCCTCCTCCACACCAGCACCCCCAGGGGCCGAGAGCAGCGGCGGCAGTGGCGGCAACGGCTGCGGCGGCGGCGACAGCGGCGACGGCTGCGGCAGCGACAGCGGCGGCGGAGGCGGCGACGACAGCGGCGACGGCTGCGGCGGCGACGGCGACGGCGGCGGCAGCGGGGTCGGCGACTGCGACAGTGGGGGCGGAGGCACCGGGGAAGGGGGACGCGGCAAGGACGGACCGGGGATACCACCAGAGTCAGCAGACTCCTCAACGGGGACAACCGACGGGAGGGGAGTGACGTGGGAGACACCAGACGGGGCAGGACGAGGCGGGAGAGGGGCAGGGGCTACCGGGGGAGAGGGAGCAAGGAAAAGGGGGGGGCAACTGGGAGACCTCGGTGAGGGAAGCGGCGGTAGAAGGAGACGGACTCGTCAAAGGTGACGTCACGAGAGTGGAGGAAGCGGTGAGACGGCGGGTGGTAGAAAAGCCAGTCAGACGAGTCCAGGGGGAAACCGAGGAAGACACAGGGGACAGTGCGGGCAGTGAGCTTGTCCGTGCCAGAGGCACGAACGTGAGCAAGGCAGCCCCAGACGTGGAACGCAGACGCGTCACCGGGGGACCCGGTCCAAAGGAGGGTCGGCGAAACCTGCGGCCGCTGGGAGCGTGGCCACAGGTTAAGCTGGTGAGCCGCGTAGCGAACAGCGAACGGCCACAGAAAATGGGGGGCATCGGCATGGATCATGGAGGTACGGGCGACCTCCATGACCAAGCCGATGCGGCGCTCAGCAACCCCATTCTGCTGTGGCGAGTCCGGCAACGTGTACGACTGGGTGATGCCCTCCGCACGACAGAACTGTCCAAGCCGACCAGAGGCGAACTCGCCGCCACGGTCGGAGTGGAGACACAACACGGGGAGACCGCGGTGGAGACGCGCAGCCACAACCCACGGGAGAAGAACGTCGGGCACGTCGGCCTTCCGCTCCAGGGGAAACACCGTGGTGTAGCGCGTGTAGTCGTCGACGAGCACAAGGAAGTAGCGCTCACCGCGCGGTCCGGGGACGGGGGCAGGGCCCCAAACGTCCAAGTGCAGGGTCTGAAGGGGGGCAGTAGCAGGACGCAGCGAGGAGGAGTGAGGAGCACGGCGGAGCCGACCCTCGACGCAAGGCGTGCACGGTGGCGCAGTCGAGGGAGGAAGGGCAGGGAGCGACGCGGGGAGACCTAAGACAAGACCGTGCTGGGACATGTGACGCAGACGCGGGAGAGCAGGGTGACCTAAGCGGTGGTGCCAGAGAAGGGAGGGGTGAGTGAGGGACCGACACGAGCAAGCTGCAGCGACCTGGGAGGACGCACCAACCGGGGGGGAAGCGGTGTGTAGGGTAAACAGACCGGACACCGGGTCCCGGGGGAACGTCGCTAGGGGGGAACCTGAGACAGCCTCAGAACAGACAGCGAACCGCTCGTGCCCGGGGAACGTGGTGGTGACGCCGAGGTCCTGGAGACAGCCGACACCAACCAGGTTCCTGGAGAACGAGGGAACGTGGAGGCCAGTAAGGGAGCCCGAGGGAACTGCCGGACATGGAAGGGACGTAGAACTGCGCGCGACGACCGGACCCGCAGAGGGGTCAGCGAGAGAGACAACAGCAGGTGCAGCAAGCGGCGTGAGCGTGGAACGGTCGCGGAAGAAGCAGGCAGAAGCACCAGAGTCGAGAGGCCATTCGGCCTCACCCACGTTCTTCATTTCTAGTTTCTCTAGTTCAATTTCCCCGCCCACCCACCCTCTTGTGTGTAGTTCTTTGTTGGACGAGAACCATGTATGTTTTCCAGATGAAATGAAGCGCGCTGTCTCTGATGAAATGAAGCACACTGCCAGATGAAATGAAGCACGCTGTCTCTGATGAAATGAAGCACACTGCCAGATGAAATGAAGGACGCTGCCTTTACAAGAGGACCTAAGCAAGCTTTCACAATGTGCACGTTTTTTTTCAAATATCTGTACTTCAACCGTAGCAGCGTGATGCAATTCTGAACCATATCAGCAAAAAGATACACTCCATAGCTCACATATTTACAGAATGACATAAACACAAATTCCTTCAGGTTCAACACACGAATACTGCCACATTGCTCTATCTACACACACACAAGCCCTCCACACGATACCTACCACCACCATGCGATATGATCATGCCATACCACACATGATACACTGCCTCCTCAGGAGATTCACCTGTGTTACCATTCTCCCGCCACGTAATCTGCGTTCATCCCTCCACCTCCCCCCCCCCTCCCCGGGCTCATCCCGTCCTCTCCGAGCATTCCCCAAGCCGTGCTGCTAAACCCCAGAAGGGCAGACGCCCAAAGCGGGCGGCATCTTGACCGATGGACACGGCGAGTGAGGGCAGGGAGCCAGGACATGGGGGGACGCGAGACCAGGTGCAAGGTGCGATGGGTGCACGAGGGCGAGGGGGGAGGGAGGGCGAGGGGGATGGGAGGGGATGGCCTCTCGACACAGGAAGGGTATGGCGGCCAAGGGCAGGGAAGCTAGACAGCAGCGGCAGGCTTGCATGGCGGGCTGTGGCATGTGGCGGTGCTGCATGTCGATATAAGCATGCGGGGATAAACCAGGCATGACGGTGGGTGGGTGAGCTGTATATGAAATGGTGGTGAGAGGAGAGCTGTATAGTATTTGTACGGGAGAAGCTGTGGGGATCGTTTGATCCGTCTGTGTACTGTTCTTCTGTGCACCCATCTCTTCATCAACTCGGCTGCCCACGGCTCTCCCTTAAACCCGAATAAGGCGCTCGAATCCCAGGCAGGTGAGCCTCAGCGTATGTGAGCTATGTACGTTCCTCTTCCCTATTTCCTTCCATTCGTCCCCACCTAGTCTTTTCGTAGGTCCCTCTACCTGTTTCCAATTGATCCCCCCCACCACCGCCGTTGCCATTCAATTTCACAACCCCACTATTACCACTCGCCCACTTCCCCCTCCCCTTTTTCGGCCCCCCACCTCGCGCTGGCGGCGTTGAGCGCCAGGACGAGCGACCCCGAGAAGTAGCAGCTCTGAGCCAGCGATCCGCGCCACGCGCCCTCCACCGCCGTCGCCACCGCGCTCGACCGCCGCTTCTGTGCCACCTCCGCTGCCGCCTCTGATAGAGCTGGCGGCTCCGCCTGCGGGGTCGCGACGAGGACCGACGCGGCCGCGCGGCGCAGCGCGGGAGGCGCGGAGGCGGAAGCGGCGAGCGCGGTGCCGAGCGCATGGCAGAAGCAGCGGGAGAGGGAGATCCAGCAGGCGATGCGGTACAGCAGCGACGCGCCGCGCCGCACGCCCCATGCCCGCACCGCCCAGTCGCGCGAGAACTGCCACGCCCACATGTGCGCGATCGACCACACGCTCGTCGGCCTAGCGACACGCGGTACGGAAAATCTATCCGACTGCAGCCACAACCAAAAGTCGGCGTCCCGCCATCCGTCGCCCCCCTGCTCCCACTCCCGCCACCACGGGTCGTCCTCGCCGCCGCCGCCCTCCCCACCAGCGCCACCAGCACCGGGATCGCCCCCAGAGAAGCCGCCGCCTCCGCCGCTCCAGCTGCCGCCGCCGCCGCCACCGCCACCGCCGCTGTTTCCCCAGCCTCCGCCGAATCCGTCCCCGCTACCGCCGTAGGGGAAATCCGAGCCGTCGAAGGACCAGGGATCGCCGCCGGAGAAGCCTGCGCCGTCCATTCCGCCATCCCATCCATCTGACCCGGAACCGCCGCTCCCGCCCACCCGCTTGCGCCCTATGCTGCGCGAACGGAAGGTCGAAGGAACGGTGACGTGCCATGTGTCAGTCTTGCTAGGCGGCGGTGCGACGGCGTCTTGGATGGGCGCGGGAACCGAGGTGAGATGAGAAATCGGGTTCGGCAATAACGAGTATGACCTGTACATGATAGAACCGTAATAAGGAGATTCGACAAGGGCCTTCCCTATAAAAGGATGCGAGTATAACGGGGTTTGGACGTAGCCGTAGGCCACGCCACGACTGCGTATGTGCGGCGGCAAACACTGGGTTAGGTGCGCGGGATTCGGCAAGGACGGCAAAGGTCTTTCCGAAGCATCATCCGCCGTCGCTGTACATTGAAACGACGGATCCAGAGACCGGTAGGCGGGAGAAGTGAACAGAGGAGAAACACGACGACCCAAGTAGTCACCGCTGGAGTCCCCGTCACGCGGTAGCAACGTCGGCGGCGCTGGAACGACCGTAACGGCAAGCGTCCATGGCGCGGACGCGTGACATGACGGGCTGGCGGCGCTGGCGTCGGCGGGAGTCGGAGAGGGAGGCTTGCTGCTGGTCGCGGGCGAGTCGGTGGCGAGGGCCGTGGCGACAGTGGAGAGCGAGAGGCCGGAGCGTATGCACAAGTCGGCCAACGGCGCGAGCGACGCGACGGGGAAGGCGACATGCTGGGCGGAGGAGAAGGAGAGGAGAAAGGTGGATAGGAGTGGCTGGCACGCGAGGGACGACGCGGAGGACAAGAGAAGAGCGCTCTCCGCCATGGTAACGATTCTTGCGGACGGCCGCGAGCAGAAGCTCCAGGCCTAAGGTGGCTCGAGACTTCGACTCTCGAAGTAGACAGATCCCGCTGTGAAAGATGCTCCTAGATTAGACCAGCATAAAGGCCGACCAGCAGCTATTCATGCACCAACACGCAACCTAGGTCTGGCACTACTAACTTAGGGGAAGCGTGTAGGTGGTGAAGATGTTGCAGGGGAAGGGGAGACCCACTGTGCAAGTAAATAGCGTTTTTTATGGTAGAGAAGTTAAGCATCCCCATCGAATCCGTGTAAACACAAAGCTCATCGCATACTAACACTGCTAAGAGAAACCTACACGAGCCCACGTTTTACCATCTTCACGGTTCATACCGGCGAAGTGGGTGGGTAAGCAGAAGAGAAGGGTACACGATCTGAGCAGAGGCAAAGCAGCGGGCTTGTGACAAATTCTTCTGTTGTGGAGGTACTAAACGTTTGCAAACCTTACGGATATTGTTCATACCGAACCTGCCAGTGTGGTTGACGGTTCGGAGATTTGTGCGCTCACCAAACCTTCTTGAGCACCATATCCATGAACCAAGACGAGGCGCAACTCCACAGTGTGTCTGGTTTGGTGCAACGAAACCGCTCTGGTTCGGCTATGGCAGACGTGACCGAACCATATCAAGCGCCACCATTCAGAAGCAGGGTGGACTAAAAGCCAATAGAAACTGCTTAAGCCACCTCATTCCCAGGTGCACTGCGTCATTCACGTCACGTGGCTTGCATAGAGTGGCTAAAAATTTTGTCCTACGCAGCGGTTGGGAGTTTAGACCCACAAAACACGTGGCTTGGCATTTACTGAGAATCGGAACAAATATTGGCGGGCAACCCATCCCAACCAATACTGGTGCAGTCGCAACCACGGCCAATAAGAGGTCAGAAGGTCGTGCTGGGTTGCAACAACCCACGTTGTTACATGTACGTCTATTGTTGTTATGAATAATAACTGAGAGTGCACGGAATCATGATGACAAGTACAAGGATGTGAGCCCTAGCTAGGTTGGGTACACGTGTCAACTTATACATATTTGTATATGTAGCAGTTATAGGCTAGAAGGGTTCGTGCTCTTAGAGAGTACAACACCCAACCATATATTCCCTTGTATCCCTCCATTCTAGTTCATTCCGTTACTCTGAGATAGTATCAGATAGATTAGGTCCGCCCACCCCGAGCTTCCGCCCTAGCCCACCCTAGCCGCTCTAGCCCGCCCCAGCCGCCCTAGCCCGTGCCGCGTGTCCCCTAGCAAGGCGCGCGGCTCCTAGCCCGCCGCTTGCCCCTCGTGCGCCGGCCCCTAGCTCGCCCCTCCACCTTCCCCCCCCCCCCCCCCCCTCGCGCTTGCCAGCCCCTCGTTCGCTGGCTCCGCACTCGCCGGCCCCTCGCTCGTCGGCCCCGTGCTCGTCGGCCCCTCACTCGCCGACCCTGCGCTCGCCGGCCCTTCGTGCGCCAGCCCCGCGCTTGCCGGGCCCGTGCTCGCTGGCCCGTCGCTCGCCGGCCCCTCGTGCGCCGACCCCGCGCTCGCCGGCCCCATGCTCGCCGGCCCCGGCTCGCGCCAGCCCCCTGCTCGCCGGCCCCGGCTCCCGCCGGCCCCAGCTTCTGTCGGCACCTGCTCGCCGGCCCAAGCTCCTGCCGCCTCCAGCTCGCGCCGACCCCGGCGTGTCAGCCCCTGCTCGCCGGCCCCAGCCTACCACCCCCTGCTCGCCACCGGCCCACAGCCAGCCTCTGCTACCCGAGCCGCCCGCCCGGCCGCCGGCGCCGCTCGCCGCGCCGCTGTGCCGCCCCGACCTGCCCGCCCATCGTCGTCGCCGAATCTGGTTCCACCCTGAGCCAGCACTTCTGCCGGCTGTCTTCTCCACACTCTCCACCGGTCCCCACCGCAATTCACCGCCCCTGCCTTCGCCCCTACTCCTCCTCCTCTCATGGTCGTCAGCTCTTGCAGCCGTGGTGATGGCGGACGCGGTGCTCCGCCTGGACGCGGAGGGTCGGGCGGTTGATTTTGAAGCATGGCTTGCCGACCTCCGCTGCCACTTAAAGGGTCAGAGCTAGGATGGCGAGTCCCTGGTCGTCCACGTCGACGGTAAGCTCCCCTGCCCCGAGCCGCCTGCTGCCCTCCCTGATGCCCCCACGACCGCTGAGCGTGAGGCCTTTGCAGCTGCTAAGCTCGCTCGCTCTATATGGGAGTTGCGCAACATAGCAGCTCAGTCTGCTATCAGTCACGCCCTCCCCCTGTCCGAGCGTCCCCACTTTCAGAGCACAAAGACTGCGAAGGAGTATTTAGATGTTGTCACTATATGCTATTCCACTCCCTTTGTGAGAGTACGACCTCCTTTGACTTCTTTCTCATTTCCATCTTTCTCCTCAATCTCATTCTTCTTCTTTTTCCTGATTCCTTTGATCTTTATCTCATCTCATTTGGTTTCCTATTCCTTATTTTCCATTATCCTTTGGTTGATCCTGTTAACATGGAGGAGAGGTACAGGGTAGCGCAGAAAGGTGGGGGGAAGGCAGGGAGCTGGGTGGCAGAGCTAGCAGCACGGTAGCTGGTCTCTAGTGCACGGAGGTGAGTAGCGAGGTCAACTACCGTGGGGAAAGTAGAAAGATCAGGGAAGAGCATGGGTAGGATCAAGCGGCCAGCAGAGGCGGAAGCACGTGCGGAGTAACGCTCAACTAATGCAGCGAGAAGTCCTTGGCGTTCGCGACAGCGGTAAAGCGCGGACGCTCAAACAGGGGGAGGGCATGGCTAATGGCAAGCTGGGCTACTGCGTCGCGAGAATCCCAGACAGCTCGAGCAATCGCAGCAACAACAAAAGCCTCGCTCTCAGCAATGATAGGGTCAGCAGGGAGGGGATCAGGCGCAGGAGGGCGGGGAAGCAAACCATCAACATGCATAGCCAGATAGTGCCCATCCTGGTGCTGACCTATCAGGTGCCGGCGGAGGTCGACGAGCCAGGCGGCGAAGTCGATTGCGTGCCCCTCAGCGTCCAAGCGAAGAACGGCGTCCGCTATTGTACAGTGTGACAGCAGCATAGCGGCTTAGCGACACAGCGACTCGGCGGCACGGCGGCTCGGTGGCTCAGTGGTACAGCGGCTCGGCGGCACGGGGGCTCGGCGCCACGGCGGCTCGGCGGCGCGGATGCTCGGCGGCTCGGGGACACGGCGGCACGGCAGCTTGGCGGCTCGGCAGCTCGGCAGCACGGCGGCTCGGCGGCTCGGCGGCTTTGCGGCACGGCGGCTCGGGGACACGGCGACTAGGTGGCTCAAGGGGCCGGCTAGGGCACAAGGGGCCGGCTAGGGCGAGCGGGGCCGGCAAGGGCGCGTAGGGCCGGCTAGGGACGCGGAGGGGGGGGGGGGGGGGGCAGTAGGAGCACGAGGAGCCGTAAGGGCGCGAGGGGCCAGCTAGGGGCACGAGGGGCCGGTAGGGGCGAGATGGGGCCGACTAGGGGCGCGAGGGGCCGGAAGGAGGCGCGACGGGGCCGGCTAGGGGCGCGAGGGGCGGTAGTAGCGCGCGGGGGCGGCTAGGGGCGCAAGGGGCCGGTAGGGACGCGACGGGGCCGGCTAGGGGCGCGACAGGGCTGTAGGAGCACGACGGGGCCGGCTAGGGGTGCGACAAGGCCGTAGGGGCGCGATAGGGCCGTAGGGGCGCGACGGAGCCGTAGGGGCACGACAAGGCTAGCTAGGGGCGCGACGGGGCCGTAGGGGCGCGACGTGGCCGTAGGGGCGTGACGGGGCCTGCTAGGAGCGCGACGGGGCCGTAGGGGCGCGCGGGGTTAGCTAGGGGCCCGAGGGTCCGGTAGGTGGCGGGCACGTGGCGGAAGCGGGTGGGTGGACCTACCTACTCGTGATACCATTTTAAGACTAGAAAGAATGAATAGAAGAAGGGAGAACAGGGGAGATATAGCGTTTGGGTTGTACCCACTAAGATCATACCCTATCTAGCTTATAACTTCTACATAACAATATATGTATAAGATGATAAATCCTCTTATGATAATTATATCACCGACCAGGCTCGGGAAGAAATTGGCGTGCTATATCTAGCGTAATCCCATCGTAATCCCTTAAAGCCAATAGCCTCGTGTGACTATACACATGGTGATTCTATTTCTAAAGGGCTTTATGCCTTTTGGTTACATGATGTACCTTGGAAATATAAAAGCGCCTTGTATCGATCCATAGTGCAACTTTTTCTGGACACATTCGATCCGGTAATACTTGGTAATCAGAGCCTTTCTCACTCAACCGAGCTTTGCTAAGCAGCAGCAATGGGAAAACATGCCTAAAAAAACTGCCAGGGGCGACTAATTCAGCGTCGATTATGGTAAGCACAAGCTCGACAACGGCGACTACGGAGCAGTCGCAACATGTTCTCGAGGCTTTGAAACAGCGCCCACCTGTGCCGATCTGTAAGAGTACGACCCCGTTACACTTCTTTCTCATTTCCACCTTTTTCCTCTATCTCATTCTTCTTTTTATCCTGATCCATTTGATCTATATCTCATCCCATTTGGTTTCCTATTCCTCCTTTCTCATTATCCTTTGGGTTATCCTTTCCTATTATTATAATTATATCACCAACCAAGCTCGGGATGTACTGGCGCGCTATATCTAGCCTTAAAGCCAATAGCCTCGAATGGCTATACGCAGGGTGATTCTGTTTCTAGAAGAGTATATTCCCTTTGGATAGGATAAAACTGGTTACCGGATGTACCTCGGAAGTATAAAAGCGCCCTGTATCAATTGATAGTGCAACTTTTCCTTGACACATTCTCACTCAACCGCGCTCAGCTAAGTAGAAGCAGTGGGGAAACCTACCTCGCAAAACCGTCGGGAGGGACTAATTCGGTGCCGATTTTGGTAAGCACCAGCTCTGCGTTTTTTGAATTAACCCCTCCGAGCATGGTTTGAACAGGATGGCGAACTTCGAGAACGCCGAGGTTATCCAGCAGCTCTTTGCGAGCATGGCCGCCCTTCAGGAGGAGATGCGACCTGATCGCGAAGCTTAGCGAAATGAGTTCGAGCAAGTAACTCGACTCGCTGGCGCACAGCACGAAAGGACAACGGCAATGACGCAGCAGTCACAGCAATTCTTGAGGCTCCAAAACCGCGCCCACCTGAGCCGTTCGATCCGGGTGATAGAAATTCCGACGTTCGCACATGGATCGCCGGCATGGAGATCTACTTCGCAGCCACCG